AAGCTTAAGGCGATGGATGGTGGGTGGCAAAAATGTGGCTCAACCATTCATTTTTGCCGCCCCCCCAAACCGTACATCTAAATTGAGCCTCAGTGTGTCCAGGTGAATTTTACCTTGTTTTCTCAGGACAAATTGGGCATAGTAAATGGCAACAGAAATCATCTGATTTTTTTTTTTTTTTTTTTTAATTAAATAGTATATATAATTTATTATTTTTTTTAAATTTAGCCATGTTTTTACTGCTATTATCATAATCTACCACCAAAGAATGACCAAAAAGAAATTCTCCTGCCCCTGATGATCGCACCAATACCACATACACTATATTGCCAAAAGTATTGGGGCACCCCTCCGAACTTCCCAAATCGTTCCAATCACCTCCATGGCCACAGATGTATAAAATCAAGCACCTAGGCATGCAGACTGCTTCTACAAACATTTGATCTCACCAAAATCACTGCAGGAACTCCAAAAAGAAAGAAGGGAAACCAATCAGCATAAAGGGGTAACAATCACAAGCAAAAAAATAATGCCCTCATAACAGGGTTTTCATTACATGCATCTGTAACCCCTAGAAAACAAGTATGAGCACTGTATAGATGGCGGACTCACACAAAGAGACCTGTGTTTGATTGCAAACGTATACAGATACATTGTTTCTCAAATGAAGACACTTGCTACATTACATTAATCCATTGACAGTGTTGCTAACATAAGTTTCTTTGTATTATTGTGTGCAATGGCAAATAAACTGTATAATGGTAAATGCCAAATACAGCAACACACTATATTACCAAAAGTATTGGGACACCCCTCCAAATCATTGGATTCAGGTGTTCCAATCACCTCCATGACCACATGTGATAAAATCAAGCACCTAGGCATGCAGACTGCTTCTACAAACATTTGTGAAAGAATGGGTCGCTCACAGGAGCTCAGTGAATTCAAGCGTGGTACTGTGGTTTTGTGCAACACAAAAATTGTCTGCCTTTTACCTACACCCCAACGGCAAGAGAGCTTGACACAGGCCAACACCACAGCCTCCCCTGCCAAGAAAGCCTGACACCGAAAAACACCACAGCACCTTTCCCCCAGCCAAGAGAGCCTTCCACTAACACCCACCTAAAGCCACCACCCCCATGGCTGAGAGAGTCTTCCACTAACACCTGCCAAAAGCCACCACCCCCCACAGCCCAGAGAGCCTTCTGTCGCAAACTTGCGCAACAGAGACTGACGCAGTCTACCATTTTGTTAAGAGTATCCATTTTTCTCCCCTACTCCCTCTCTGAGAGGAGACATTTGGTCAGTGTGCTGGTTGTGGGTCACTGGCAGGCCAAGGCAGCAGGGAACCCCAGAGCTATAAAACATCTCTGAGCTAGGAGCCTAGCTGTCTGGGTGAGCTGTACCATATCACACCTCGTATAAGATAAGGCAAGCTTTCCCGGAAGTTCAAAGAACATTGCAAGGAAACATGACCAGATAACCTTGTGGTAAAATCCATTTTTCCCCTATGTCTCATATCTTAGAATATGAGAGACGTACATTAAAACCGGACATATCATCAGATGGAAGATGAGCAGGTGAACAGTTTGACGGGTCACTCTTGTCTCGGACACACAGGAAAGCAGAAAAATAGATCTCGTGGAACGTTCAGTGTACACTTTCATAATTCATATCTAATCAATTCTCACACTTGTCTGCATAATAATCTACCCGTGGGTGGAATGTCACTTGTGCATAGGAAAAGTTATGAGCCCAAATATGAACTACACAAGATTTTGGCTCTAGTTTAGGTCGACACCCAGACCTCCACGCCTACACAGGGTATTGGTCCTTGGCGACAGAGCCACCCCCTGCTGGGGACTACAAAACAGGCTGTCAGGCCTAAGAGTAGAAGTTGAAGACATCTCCCATTTTAACATCAATACCACCTGGGAAGACCCCTGCCCTTTGCTCTGAAACTTGGATCTGCTAACCCAGGACTTTGGAAAGTACCTTAACCCTTTCACCTCTCCCTGATATCTCTTTGCTGTGCTGTTGGTCTCTGTATGTTTATATATATATATATATATATATATATATATCTTTGTGACATCTTTTTCTGTAAATATTTTTATTGCACCCATTTGATCTTTTAGTAATAAATCTTTCCTTCTGAAAGTGTTGAACTGTTTCTATAGCTCTTTATTGCAATTTACGAATTCCTGCCTCTAAAGAGATGCTACTGTGTTTGTTTAACCCTCTGCATAATCAGCCTGTGAGGACCGTATTATGCAGACGATTATCTCAACCATTACAGTGTTTTAGCGGATAGTGCCGAGTTTCCTCTTTCTCTGTACAAAAAGGAGGTGGCGGCAGTGTGAAGGGTTAATTGCGTAATTAACCTGACCCAGTAACAATCTCTCAGGCTGCTGGTACATCGCTTTGTGGTCCATTAGATGGAAAATCATTGTGCAGGGTGCAGCTGGGTGTGGCATTGTTATGCACGTCACATCGCGCTTTTATATTGACTAGTCCTTCAGTCACAAGTTTGGTGAGAAGGTCTGGGGTCTGACGCCGCGATCGTGACACCTTCAACTATCACCCGCCAAAAGCCATCCCCACGGCCCAGAGAGCCTTCCACTAACACTCACCAAAAGCCACCACCCCCACGGCCAAGAGAGCCTTCCACTAACACTTGCCAAAAGCCACCACCCCCACAGCCAAGAGAACCTTTCATTACCACCCTCCATACACCTGCCGCCTCCACCCACCTCCCCCTGGCAAAAGAAAGAAACTCACTTTCACAGCTCTGGACATCCCCAGGAATGAGTCAGGCTCTGCATGCACTGTAAAGCAGCCCGCAGCCTCATTTGGATCCCACCTGGTCTCCATACCATCAAGTGTCCCTTCTTCTGGGGGGCAGTGCCACCCCCCTGACAAATGGCACACTAGGGAACTGCCTTGCGGTAAATACGCCCATGGTTAAACCTGATACAGACCAGTACTTGCGTCAGGAATTTATAGGCATGTTTTGTTTTGTTTTTTTAATCCTTTATTTTGAAGAAATAGTATAACAACTTTTACAAAAAAAAAAAAAAACAACATTTTGACAGAATGCAGATTGTCAGGGCTCCCGGGTATGACCAGAGGTGTGTGACTGACGCAGGGAAACGCAGACTTCAGATATGTTATAAACAATACGATTTATTAACACTAACAATACAAACATAAACGCAGTGCAATACTAAACATAACACAGTGCAAACAAACCCAACCAACCACCCACAGATAACAGTACAAACAATGCGAGCGTCGTCAGGCAGGCCGGGTCAATATCAATCGGGCAGGTAGGTAAAGGAAGCAGGAACAGGATACAGGGCCCAGGAAAAACATACACCAAGGCAGAGTCTGCAGGTCTGGCCATCCCCTTAAATAACACCAGTATAATTAGTTCCAGGTGTTTGACTGGCTGCAAGGTTGAGTCTCTGATTGCTGGGAGCACCCGCTGGCCAGCCCTGGTACTGCAGCTCATAAGGCAGGTGAGTCCCACTATTGCTGGCCAGTCCATTCCTGACAGTACCCCCCCCCCTCAAGGAGCGGCCTCAGGACGCTCCAAACAGTCCTAGCTGGGCAAAATGTTCCACCGCCCGGGTCTGGTAACTGGCGGGATATCAAAGACTGGCACACCGGGCAGGACTCCGGGCAGCGGCACACCGGGCAGGGGCACACCGGGCAGAAGCACACCGGGCAGAAGCACATCGGGCTGGACTCCGGGCAGAGGCACATCGGGCTGGACTCTGGGCAGAGGCACATCGGGCTGGACTCCGGGCAGAGGCACTCCGGGCTGGACTCCGGGCAGAGGCACTCCGGGCAGCGGCACATCGGGCTGGACTCCGGGCAGAGGCACATCGGGCTGGACTCCGGGCAGAGGCACATCGGGCTGGACTCCGGGCAGAGGCACATCGGGCTGGACTCCGGGCAGAGGCACATCGGGCTGGACTCCGGGCAGAGGCACATCGGGCTGGACTCCGGGCAGAGGCACATCGGATTACCAGGCGAAGCAGCAGGCAGCGGGCCACCAGGCGGAGCAGCAGGCACCGGGCCACCAGGCGGAGCAGCAGGGCACCGGGCCCCCAGGCGGAGCAGCAGGCACCGGGCCCCAGGCGGGGCGGCCGGACAGGCACCGGGCCCCCCGGCGGGGCGACAGGCATCGGGCCCCCAGGCGGGGCGACAGGCACCGGGCCCCCAGGCGGCGGCGGACAGGCACCGGGCCCCCAGGCGGAGTAGCAGGCACCGGGCCCCCAGGCGGAGTAGCAGGCACCGGGCCCCCAGGCGGAGTGACAGGCATCGGGCCCCCAGGCGGGGCGACAGGCGTCGGACCCCCAGGCGGGGCGACAGGCGTCGGGCCCCCAGACGGGGCGACAGGCGTCGGGCCCCCAGACGGGGCGACAGGCATCGGGCCCCCAGGCAGAGCGGCGGGCGCCGGGCCCCCAGGCAGGGCGACAGGCATCGGGCCCCTGGCGGGGCAAAACAGGCATCGGGCCCCCAGGCGGAGCGGCGGGCGCCGGGCCCCCAGGCGGGGCGACAGGCATCGGGCCCCCTGGCGGGGCAACAGGCATCGGGCCCCCCAGGCGGAGCGGCGGGCGCCGGGCCCGCTGGCGGGGCGACAGGCATCGGGCCCCCTGGCGGGGCGACAGGCATCGGGCCCCCCGTTGGGGCGACAGGCGTCGGGCCCCAGGCGGAGCGGTGAGCGCCGGACCCCCCAGGTGGAGCGACAGGTCTCGGGCCCTCAGGCGGAGCGACAGGTCTCGGGCCCTCAGGCGGAGTGGCTGGCGCCGGACCCCCAGGTGGAGCGACAGGTCTCGGGCCCCCAGGCGGAGCGGCGGGCACCGAGTCACCCAGGCACGACCAGTGGGCTCCGAGTCAACTGGCAAGACTGCGGGCACCGAGTCAACTGGCAAGACTGCGGGCACCGAGCCAACTGGCGGAACAGCGGGCTTTCGAGTCGTCTGGCAAGACTGCGGGCACCTAGTCGTCTGGCAAGACTGCGGGCACGAGTCGTCTGGCAAGACTGCGGGCACCGAGTCGTCTGGCAAGACTGCGGGCACCGAGTCAAACTGGGCGGAACAGCGGGCACGAGTCGTCTGGCAAGACTGCGGGCACCGAGTCGTCTGGCAAGGACTGCGGGCACCGAGTCGTCTGGCAAGACTGCGGGCACCGAGTCGTCTGGCATTGGATCGTCTGGCTCGACAGCGGGCATCGGGTCACCAGGTATGACAGCGGGCACTGGGTCACCAGGCATCAGGTCATTTGGCTCGCCAGCGGGCACCGCGTCATCTGGCAAGGCAGTGGGCACCGAGTCACCAGGTACGACAGGGGCTCTGAGTCAATTGGCACGACAGCGGGCACCGGATCAGGTACCGGATCATCTGGATCAACAGCGGGCATCGAGTCAACTGGCCTAATAGGATCATCAGGCTGGATCAGTTCATTATGCTGGGTAGAAGCATCCGGCTGAGTAGAGGCATCCGGCTGAGTAGAGGCTTCAGGCTGAGTAGAGGCTTCAGGCTGAGTAGAGGCTTCAGGCTGAGTAGAGGCTTCAGGCTGAGTGGAGGCATCAGGCTGAGTGGAGGCATCAGGCTGAGTGGAGGAATCAGGCTGAAGAGAGCATCAGGCTGAGTAGAGGCATCCGGCTGAGTAGAGGCTTCAGGCTGAGTAGAGGCTTCAGGCTGAGTAGAGGCTTCAGGCTGAGTAGAGGCATCAGGCTGAGTAGAGGCATCAGGCTGAAGAGAGGCATCAGGCTGAAGAGAGGCATCAGGCTGAACCACGGAAGGCAGGTTCTCGGACGGCAGGCTGACGGTTTGGATACTGGCAGGATGGTACTGGTTGGAAAGAATTTTCGCTTTTTTTTCTGGTTTTAACTACTGGAGCACTGCAAGTAAACGCAGGTCTGCAAATGAATGGAGCAGCTGGAGACAGAGAAGAGCTGGAGGATGGAACAGGGGAAGGAACAGTCGCTGAGGGCTTCTTTACAGGGTTAAAGGCAGGATAGGTGCAGCGAGTGGGAACAGGGTACTGACATGCGGTAGATAGCCAAGTATACTGGGCTGTAACTGGAGGAGCTGTTGGGAATACAGGAGTAGAGCTTTGAGGAAATAGATTAGAAGCAGGACTGGTCTTTGTAAGCTGACTGAGGCTGGGTGTAACAAATCTGTCCATGTCTGCAGTATGGGTTGAACAAAGCTGAGCTTACACAAAGCCTGTCTGACCAAAGACTGCACTGCGTTTATACAATCTCTTAGCACCTGTGGTGAACATGTGGAATAACGCTCCAGAAAGAAACCCACATCATCCTCTAATAACCACACCAGGACTCTACCTGGTCTGCACTAAATGGTGGCAAAAAATTCATCCCTGCATTCGGGGGGTACCAGATGAAACCAACTCAGCACAAACCTCAATCAATGGCTGCACCTCAGAGAACTCTGTGCCCTGATCTACTAGAACATGAGCGAGCGTATACATTCTAGCAGTTCATCCCGGGTATACTCCTTCAGAGTTTGATAAAGCATACTCCCTGTCATCAAACACTAGCAGATATAAATACGCAACCTCATCCAGATCCATCCTTCCCATCAACAAACCAAGATGGCTTCCCTGTGCAGCCACTTCTGGTCAGGATTGGCCTTGGTGTAATGTCAGGGCTCCCGGGTATGACCAGAGGTGTGTGACTGACGCAGGGAAACGCAGACTTCAGATATGTTATAAACAATACGATTTATTAACACTAACAATACAAACATAAAACGCAGTGCAATACTAAACATAACACAGTGCAAACAAACCCAACCAACCACCCACAGATAACAGTACAGACATGCGAGCGTCGTCAGGCAGGCCGGGTCAATATCAATCGGGCAGGTAGGTACAGGGGGAGCGGAGAATGGTCGGGGTCACAAGCCAGGGTCAGCAGGTAGCGGGCAGCGTGGTACAGAGGGTCAGGCAGAGGGATGGTCAGGAACGAGCGGGGGTCAGAGCAGGAGAAGTCAGCAGAGGTATAGATCAGGCCGGGTCAGCAACAAGAAGGAACAGGAATAGGAACAGGAACAGAAACAGGAAGCAGGAAGCAGGGCCCAGGAAAAACATACACCAAGGCAGAGTCTGCAGGTCTGGCCATTCCTTAAATACACCAGTATAATTAGTTCAAGGTGTTTGACTGGCTGCAAGGTTGAGTCTCTGATTGCTGGGAGCACCCGCTGGCCAGCCCTGGTACTGCAGCTCATAAGGCAGGTGAGTCCCACTATTGCTGGCCAGTCCATTCCTGACACAGATAAAACTGGCACATCGCCAGGCACATAGTGACACTTCAGACACAGTTCAGAAAATCTGTGATACTCATATGAACATTCACTACATGGCAAGTGGAACCAATTCAACCACACCCCTAGAATATACCACTTCTTCTGTTCATTTTGTACATTTAACAAAAAGTAATAAAAAGAAAATAAAGCAACAGTCAGCCCCATCGAGATAAGTGTGACAAGTGTGAATTGAGCCTTAAGGCTAGTAGTCAGGGCATGTGCAGAAGTAATATATTTTTAGCTTTATAATTATGCTGCAAGCGCATGCCAAAATATGCAGTATTAACCACCACTCAGCATTCAAGAGAACATACCAAATCGCAGGGCTGGAATTGATGGTATGGGAACCAAATGGAGGGGACTGGATCTCACAATAATAAAAAAAAAATGAAAAACCGAATTCCCTGAATTTTTAAACCTCAAATCAAAATAGAGAAATTTATTTTATGATCCAGATGTCATACAAGCACCATTGTGTAATAACTGGAGCTTGATTCCATATTCTGATTGCACAAAAACAGCAAAAATCTCCCCATTTGAGATAAGTTTGTGCATTTATGATTTACTATTATTTAATAAAATGTTTTTTTTTTGCAGCTGATTTATTCACAGCTATCTTTTTAGAAAGTAAAAGCAAGCTACTGAGAACCTATCTAGTCATAATGGTACCCTAAACAGGGTGGTGACAAGCAGAGGCATCCCTAGGGTCAGTGTCACCTGGTGCGGTAACACTTGGTGACACCCCTCTCCAACAATCTCCGCTGAATGGTTCGGATCTGCGTATTGAGCATAATGGATCAGACTGTGGGGATCGTTGGCTTTCTTTACAACTTATCTTTTTGTGGGGCGGATCCGGTGTCACCCCATATAGGTTGCATGCCAATGATCCCCGCAGGATGTTTCGGATCTGAGGATTGAGCATAATGGATCAGAGTCCGATCCATTATGCTCCCCCAATCTGCAGATCCAATCCATCCTGCGGGGATCGTCTGCATGCAACATATACGGGGTGACACCGGATCTGTTCCAAGAAAAGGTAAGTTGTAAAGAAAGCCGCCTATCCCGCAGGATGGATCGGATCCATCCTGCGGGGATCGTCGGTTTGCTTTACAACTTACCTTTTCATGGAGTGGGTCCGGTGTCACCCTGTGCAGTCGGTGTCACCTGGTGCGGGCCGCACCCCCAGCACCTGCCTCGGGATGCCACTGGTGACAAGTTAGACCAGGGTTAGACCAGGGACTTTTGTCAACCAGGGTGCTGCGGAATCCTGGTTGACAAATATTGTCAGAACACACCAAGCTACCACTCCTCTGTCGAACTCATCACAGCACGATCTTGGTCAGGGCAGTGAAGTGAAAGAAGTGGAAGTGGGAGACGGCTTACTATGTCTTGAGCTTTCTGCCTCCCCCTACAGGACAGTACCTGGCAGTGCATTATATATGTATGTATGTATATATGCATTCATGCTTTTTTAGGGCTCACTCACAATAGCGGCAAGGACTGCAATGTATGGTGTAATATGTGGAAGCCCAGACAGCCGTACTGGTAAAAGAAAACAGTCCTTTTATTTTCCTTGTAAGAACTCTTGTCTGTTGAGTTTGTGGCCTGGACAGGGTGGAGGTAACTAGGACTAAGTCTGCCCCTACAGGGGGTTCAGAACTAACCTTAACCAGGGCAACTATCTGCCATCAGTCTTTACAGGGTTTTAACAAATTCATGTGGTAGATTTGGTATGGTTTTCTTTTCACAGTTTGGTGTACTTTTATAATATACTTCACCAATCTTTTTACTATCTCGGTTGGTCCCTACCACCTGGCCCAGAACTTACTCTTGACTGTGGGTGTTATTACCACCACCTAGCCCCAACCTAGAACTCTCTAAATTTGGCAGATTAGTTGTACACTCTTTTCTGTGCTTCTTGGGCGTTCTGTAAATGCTCCCTTACCATGGCCATCATCTTAGCAATTCTCAATTTCATTCGGGTAAAATGCTGTACTACTGTTTCATGTTATGACAATTCACTTTCCCAGGTTTCTTTAGCTATGTCAAGCAACCCATGAGGTTTCTGCCTGTATGCCAATTCCAATGGGGAAAACCCAGCACTGGGAGCAAGCACTCCCAATCTTTTCTTTTTGTACCACCCTCCTGAGCATAGACTTTATGGCCTCATTGAATCTTTTGATCACCCCATTCATCTGCCAGACATTATCCAATTGCTTGATTTGGAACAGCTTGCATAGGTCTGCCATCACCTTCGACATGATTGGTGTGCCTTGGTCTGTCCGAATTTTCTTTGGGTAACTTAATTTATATTAAATAACTCTCTGGCAGTTGCTTTTGTGGAGGTCTACCTCAGAAAGACCGCCTCTGGATACCTAACTACGTAATTCAGTACCACTCAATTACTTATTGAGGAATCTGACCAGTTTTACCAAGAGGCCCACCAAATCTATTGCAATACGCACAAATGGTACTTAGACAATAGGCAGAGGCACCAAGGGGTCCCTAAAATATGACATTGAAGCAGCTGACAAGGACCTCTTCACCACAGCAGTAACTCCCAGCCAATAGAACTGGTCTGTTTTTTGTACCCCTGTTTTCTCAGCCCCCAGGTGAACTCTCAATGCATCATTGTAAGCTAGGCCAAGTATTATGTGCCTAAAAGGTTGGGGGACCACCTCACCCCGGAGTTCAGTGACTCAGTATAGCAACTCATCATTGACTACAAAGTGTGGAAACCTTTGCTTGGCCTCAGGCACTTGCGATACCGCATTAATGACTATGGCCATGCGACTTGTTCCCTGGCATTTTGTAATGTGCGGTCCTACATTTGGGTTGCATCAAATGCATTCCATGACACGTCCAGGTCAAGATATAAAGGATTAGAGGAACCATCCCCCTCATCCTCCTCAGACATAACCTGTAATTATTATTATTATTATACAGTATTTATAAAGCGCCAATAGTTCACTCAGCGCTGTACATTACAACGGGGGACAGAACATGTGACAGAACAATACCAATACAATGCAAAACATGAGGGGATCGAGGGCCCTGCTCTTTCGAGCTTACAATCTAGAAATGGGGAGGTTTCCTCA